GAGACCTCCCAACCTGTCCTCACTTTCCCACTGCCTGACTTCCAGCAGCCGCACCTCACCTTCCAGCCATGTCACTTTTCAGATGTTCTCATTTCGCCTACATCTGCATTGCAGTTGTTTCACTTCTAGATTATTCATTTCTTGGGCTCTCCCAACCATTCTCCTATTCCCAGACTCCCAAGGTAAATAAAGACATCAGGGCTCAGCCAACCCCAGATCTTCCTGGCCCCGGGAGGGAATCAGACTGTTTGGATTCTAATGACATGTTGGACACAGAGCTAAGCCTCGGTGCTGGGAGAAGTGACAGTGGGATCTGAAGCGGAGAAACAAGAAAAAATGCTCGCTACCTCAGTGAACACCCAAAGCAGTGTCTACTATGGTCTCACCATGGCTGGTCCAGGCCCCTCAGTCGTACCTGCCGCGGTACCATCAGCTTCAGTGCACGTGTCACCATCCCAGCACCAAGAGAATTCAGAGAATTTTCACTTGACAGGGAACCAAATGAAACGCAGACTGTGGTCTGCACTAGAAATAGACAGGAGAAAGAAGGCCCCGAGCCATTTGGGAAGCAGTGTAATATTCTCATAAATTCCTGATGGGAGCAGTAGGGAGGCCTGAGCAATCCCCCAGATGTGACTGCAGATGCTCCTCGTTTGCCTGAGGACTTTCCGATGGGCTTGGGCTTTGTGTGGAGGAGCCTTGCATCACTTTTCTCTGAGTAGCCTGGAGGTCACAAGGCGCCAAGGCAGCAAATGGCCCCTACAAGGAGGAATGACCAAGCCAAATTATCATGGATTTGGCATGAGTCCAGAAGCCTGTGGCACAGGGAAAGGACACACTTGCAGACAGTGTTGTTCTCCAGGTTTCTCTTCAGGTGGTAGGAACAGCAGTTGGCCCACTTTGCTGTCATGAAGACCCGGAGCTGTTAATGACAACCCTTCAGTCAGTCATACTCCCCCAGGCTGCACAGAGGGAGAGCGTGGGCGGGCCAGGGCAGCCACAGCCCCACCCCACTGCGCTGGCTCCTCAGCTGTCACCCCCTCACGTCTCAGCCAGGCTCAGTTCATGCCCTTACCCCACCTGTAGAGGGAAGTTTCTAGACAGTGGGGGCACAGGTGCTGGGTGTAATGGTGTGCTGTCGGTATATGAAGGCAGTGAGGCAGTTTGTCGATTCCACTCTAGAAAGTGTTGTCGGCTCGGCGCCTATAGCTCAACCAGCTAGGGTGCCAGCCACGTACACCTAAGGTGGCGGGTTCGAATCCCCAGCCCAGACCCGCCAGACAACAATGACGGCTGCAACCAAAAAAAAATAGCCAGGCGTTGTGGCGGGCGCCTGTGGTCCCAGCTACTTGGGAGGCGGAGGCAGGAGACTCGCTTGAGCCCAGGAGTTGGAGGTTGCTGTGAGCTGTAATGCCACGGCACTCTACCCAGGGGGACAGCTTGAGGCTCTGTCTCAAAAAAAAAAAAAAAGAAAGAAAGTGTTGTCCTCAATGGCCAAGAATTTTCCCAATTTCAACCTCTTCAACTCGACCCTTTTTAATCAAAATTAAACCTTAGCAGGGGAGAAATGAATGAAAATGAATATGTCTGTATACCGGCCTCCCCCCACCGATACTCTAATTGCCTTTGTTCTCCTTTCTGTCTGTCTTCACTGTCTTCCTAGCACCCGGAAGGTGTTTTATTATTCGGATAGTCAGGTTCCCAGCTGTGTGAGATGGCAACTGCATGTTGTCACTAGAAAGTGGAGTACCTGCAGACGCTCTCTGCGCCCAGGTTAGGACCACAGTGGGGATCAGCCTCCCCTGGCTTAGAAAAGCCCTGCAGGGGGTTCTTTTCCTTCTAACCTCAGTGCTCATCCAGAGCAGACGAGCAACCCTTTGGACCTGTTGTTTCTGCTGTCCTGGCCAAACCTCCATCTCTATAGTCGTTTGTTGTCAGAGCTTTTTCGCCAGACCATTAACTGTGGGGTCTGGTTTGTGTCCTTGAGCACTTCTCTGCTGTTGGGCGGGTGCCTTGAACAGTTTGCCTTTTGTAAGCCTACAGCACTAATAGGAAAAGGCTGAGGGGCAGTCGGGGAGTGTTTATGGAACAGGCTTGGTGACACTCCCCACTGCCCTGTGAAACCTGAGCTCCTCTTTAAAAGGGGACTTTTGAGCAAAGGTGATTTCCTCACATGAGCCAAACTTACATTTTCTCCCTTCAGCCTCATAAAAGGGGAGTTTAAAGGGGGAGTAATTCCCAGGGCAGTCTTGTGTCGCCTGGGTAGGAAGAGGCAGGGGACTGAGTGGCTGGAACTCCTGTGTTTCCACAAAGGCTCATTTGTCTTGCACTTCACAGCCTGTAAGCCCTGCTGCCATGGGAAAAGCCAGCCGTGGTGGCTTGCCGCTCATCACACGGAGGCTTTAAGGTGTGTTCATAGCTTCTGGAAGGAATGAAGAAATGTGGGATGGGAGCTTGGGGGTAAGAGGGAGTATGAGAATGTTAAAATGAAGGTACGGAGGGCTCCCTTCTCTGCACAGTGAATTACAGAGAGACAGTTAACCGGTAGGAACATCCCACCAGTTGCTCACATTCATTCATTTTACAGTTACCTAGTGGCTAATACTGAGAGTAGAAAGCTAAGACACCGTCCTTCCCATTGCAGAGCTTACAGTGTTTGTTATTTAAGGTACTTTTGTGTGTTTTTTTTAAGAGGTGAGATCTCACTATGCTACCTGGGCAGCACCAGGGCTATTCACAGGCTTGATTCCACCATTGATCCACACTATTTGCTCCATTTCAAATCCAAGCCATTTCACTCTTCCTTAGGCAACCTGGTGGTCCTTTGCTCCTGGGAGGTCATCATACATAGATCATTGCTGAACTTAGTGTAGAAACCCTGTCAGCATAGCTGTCTACAGCCATTCTTCTGCCTCAGCCTCCCAAATAGCTGAAACTAGAGCCACTTGCCACCTTAAAGTGAGCGGTAAGATTTGTAGGGGAAAGCAGCCTTCTAAGGGAGAGCAACAGCCTATGATCTACTGGGCCACATTTTTTTCCTTTGTAAAATGGGAATATTAATAATTGCGTAAACAGGGCAGCGCCTGTGGCTCAAAGGAGTAAGGCACCGGTCCCATATGCCAGACGTGGCGGTTTCAAACCCAGCCCCAGCCAAAACCCACACACAAAATAATAATAATAATAATAATAATTGGGTTTTTGTATACATATATGTGTGTATATATAACCAGTATACACAGTGCCAGGCACATGCACTGAGCTCTAGTCTTACTTAGGCATCGTACTGTTTCATCTTCTTGCCTCCCGGGATGGAGTACCAGGAGTCAACGAGAAAGAGGAAGAAATCAAGGCCCTCTGACAAGACAACAGACCCCTTTGATCACCAAGATCAGTTCTGCTCATTGAACTCCCCAGAGCAGTTAGTATCCTCCAGCAGCCTTGTAGCCGTGCATGGAGACTCCTCAGAAGGAAAGAAGAAAAATGTAGCTTAGGGAGAAAGGTCTGTAAGAAGTTAATGTGGAAAGGGGGGAGAGGAAAAAATACTCAGGACGATAGCAGCTGGTTCACTTAAAATTGCACATGAATTTCACTTAGAGTTAGTTTCTTCTGGTTTGGGCAAAAAACGTTTTATCTTCCTCATCAGAGCAATTTTGTACTTCTGCGAGAGCATGCTTTATTTAGTTTCAAGGAACCAGCTAATTCCAAATCTATACTTAGTAATATTAGTTATTAACACAGTTCACCCAGCCCCATGTGCATGGGCAACAAAGTGATTTTTAGTTGGTATGCCCTGGCAGGCTCTTAGGTGTGCCAAGAAAATTTTTAAATTTCACTAATTAAATTATTTTCAAAAGAAGTTCAAAGCATAGTAAGTACTCTTTTTTTTTTTTTGCAGTTTTGGCCAGGGCTGGGCTTGAACCCACCACCTCCAGTATATGGGGCCAGCACTATACTCCATGAGCCACAGGCGCTGCCCCTCTTTTTTTTTTTTCCAACATAATTTAAATGTGCCATGGAAGTTTAAGTATAGATTCAAGTGTGTGTGAGATAAAAAAGGTTGAAAAACAGTGGTCTAGTACCTGAGGCTTTGGAAACTGCTGCCCAGGGGATATAGAGTGGAGTTAAGCCCTTTAGACTTGCTTTTTATTCTCAGCTTAGAAAAATGTGTGTAGGGCTTCCGAAAGGAAATTGTCATGATCTGGTTTCACTTAGAAATTAAATACATATCTGCATTTTGCAGCAGACTAACTTGCAGAGAATATCCTGGTGCACTGCTTCGCTTAGCACCAGCACAGAAAGCACCAGGGAATCTGCCTGGTAGATTCCCCCTGAATCAGGGCTTAGAGTCTGGATACCAGACACTTGTCTAGTCCTACTCAGGAAGAGTTTAGAACTTGCACAGATGACTTCCTAGTATGAACTTAAGTCTCAACTGTAGCTGGGTGCTCTTCCTACAGATAGCATGTAAATCTGTTTCTAGAAACTTTCATCCTTGGACAAAAACCGGTGAAAGACCCACATAGCATTTATAAGGACCTGCTTAGCAATTTCATATACATCATTTCTTTTAATTCCCTGAAGAACCCTATGAAGGAAGAGTTGGTATTAACCCCATTTTATAGATGAGGAATTTAAAACTTAAAAAAAAAATGGCTTGTTTATTGTCACATAGCTAATAAGTGGTAGAATTCAGCCTCTAGAAAGTGAAACCCAGGTCTTAATCCTTTTTCTTTTTTTGAGACAGAGTCTCACTTTCTTGCCCTCAGTAAAGTGATGTGGTGTCACAGTTCACAGCAATCTCATATCTTGGCCTCAAGTTATTCTCTTGCCTCAGCCTCCCAAGTAGCTGAGACTACAGGCTCCCTCTACAATGCCCATTATTTTTAAAGATAGGTTCTTGCTCTGGCTCAGGCAGGTCTCAAACTTCTGAGCTTAGGCAAGCCACCCTGCCTCAGCCTCCCAGAGCGCTAGGATTACAGATGTGAGCGACCACCGCTGGCCTCCTTTTGTTTCAGTTAAGCACAGTGGTTGGGTTTTCACTGTCATGTGTGAGATGTGTGTCCCTCCAGCCTTTTAGGATATCAGCACATTACCCATCTGATGAGGGGTGGGGAGACTCAAGTCTTTTGACTCCAAATCTAAGATGCATCACCTCTCATCCCTGCTTAACAAAAAGACATAAGATTGCTTCCAATAATGTGGGACTATCCCCATTCATGTGGCCTTGGGGAAATTCACTGCCTTTCCTGGACCTTAGTTTCCCTGTTAGCAAAATCAGGCTGATGGGTGATAATGTCTTTCCCTTCCCACTCTCTTAAGGATGCATGAGGTCAAAGGAGCAATAGATTGGAAGAGTATTGGGAACGTGCTTTGTAAACATGAGGCATTAGGTTATTACTTTCACAAATGTTAGCTTCTCTAGTTCATCCAATTTCTGGGCAGTTCTCTCTTGGTTTTATTGGAAGAAATGTGGTGGAATTTGGATTTTTAAAAATAATATTTATAACAGCAATCTCTTGCCATGTTACCACATTGAACCCAAATCCTGGAATTTCCCAAAACCACTTAAAAATTAATTCTAGTCAAATAGACAGTTTGTACTCAGGGCAATAAACTAGATCTTCGCTCATTAAACCAGTCTAGACTCTGAAGTTGGTGTGGCACATTTTGCTCCCTACCTGTAAACAGATATATTCATTGTGGTCCTATGAATTTCTCAGGCCAGCTCCTTCGCCCTCTCCTCGTTCCCTCCTTTCCATAACTCAGGCGTTTGTTCAGTGTTGGGTTCAGCTGCATAAGTTCCTACTGGAACAAGGGGCAACTGCTCTCAGGGACTCCTTGCAGCTTGATGAACCAGCTCCAGGTAGGAGGCCTTCCAGGGGCACTGCCCAGTTGCCCCAACACAGTTACAGTCCTACAACCCTACTGGCGACCTGCTTCCTGCAGATACCTCAGCAAAGCTGGGGGTGACATTAGAGAAAAGCATCTCTACACCAGGGGCCAGTCTAAGTATCTCTAAATGTGCAGCCTCCTGATGGAGGGGTAGGAGGCAGTCCCTGGAGAGGGTCTAAGGAGCCATCTGGATTTGCAGGGGTAGGCTTTGTTTGAGGTTGTCAGCATGGCTGCACAGCCACAGCTTCCAGGTTCTGTCATTGACCAATCACTGACATGGCCCAGCCTCAGTGCTACCTCTGTGTTGCTTACAGTCCAATGATTTTAATTTTAGTTATTCCTGCTACTGATGAGAAGTGAAGACTTAAATGTTCAGGCTTGGCACCCATAGCACTGTGGTTATGTAGCACCAGCCACATACACCGATGTTGGCAGGTTTGAACCCAGCCCAGGCCAGCTAACCAATAATGACAACTGCAACAAAAAATAGCCGGGTGTTGTGGCAGGCGCCTGTAGTCCCAGCTACTTGGGAGGCTGAGGCAAGAGAATTGCTTGATCCCAAGAGTTGGAAATTGCTGTGAGCTGTGACGCTATGATACTGTACTGAAGGCGACATAGTGAGACTCCGTCTCAAAAAAAAAAAAAAGACTTTACTGTTCAGAGGGCTTTCATACATTTGTACACTGCAGCAGGGACAGTTTGGATCCCGGCTTTCTAGCATTTCAAAAACAGACTCATGCTGCCTACCTGACAACATCTGAGAAGAAACTAGTCCATGCTGGTTGGAGGAAGGGGCCCGGAGGAACCTTCACTCTACGCCCTCTGCCACCCTATCAAAATTAGAAAAGGCAACCAAAGACCTTTCATCAGATGAAGTCGTACAAACTGAGCTTTCTGGGTGGGAACAGATAATTGATGGCCTCTCTGCATCTGCAAGACGTTGGCCTCAGTGTGCTGGGGAGCCATTTGCCCACATTGACCCTCACGCCTCTCATCTTCAGATGTGCTGAATTTAACCATCTCTTCCTTTTGTTTTCTCAGCATTAACAATAAGCTACAGCAGCCGGAGGCAGCTGCCGGGGTGTTAGAATATGCCATGAAACACTTTGGAGAGCTGGTGAGTGCCTCATTCCGTCCAGAAAAACAAGAGGTAGCAACCTGGCTAGGGAGGCCTCAGCCATAACCTTGATCAAGAAAGTTAACTCTCCTTTTCTGTTTTTTTCTCAATTTGTAGCTCTGATGCTGCCTTACCTATGTCTCTTAAGGATGAAAGAGACAGTGTATGTAGGGACTGTATTCAAACTGGACATACATCATGAGGGTGGAACCTGATAGTCATCACTGATATTTGTCAAATTCTTTGCATGTGCCTTTAGCCATTTGCTAAGTGTTTTATATACTTTATCTAATTTATCAGTCCTCATAACAATACTATGAATTATTGTTATCCCATTTGACAGATGAGGACACTGTAGTCCCAGGTTAAGAATAAATGGCAGAACCAAGGCTTGAACTGGGCAGTTTGGTAGCAGAGCCTGGACATTTAACCCTGATCTGAGTTATGTTTGTATCCAGCTGTGGCAGCTTGCATTGTGTGTATATACTTCAGAAGAAAGCATGGCCAGTTCTCCAAAAATATATATATACTATAATTTATACTTGGCATTTAGGGGTTTTCTTGTGTTTCTTTATTGCTTGCATAGCTGCTTCTCTGCTGCCATCCTTGCCCCACCAATATTAAAATATTTACATTACTCTTTGTGATCTTGGAAGAGTGTTTTGCTTCTAAAATATATAAAGCATCAACTTCATCAACTTAGCATTGGACTCCTAGAAGGTCAAGAAGCTCTGGGTTCATATATTTGATGAGGAGCCTTTTCTTAGTGGCATCGATTGCCTACTCTGGTTTGCCTTCATCAAGAGCCCATGGTGTTGGAGTGAAGAAAACTGTGAATCCTTCACAGGCTTTTGTTTAATTGTCTAGCATTTTCCCTTATACAAGGGCTAGTAAATTGGACTGAAACTTTTAAGGGAATCATTTTCCCATTTTTAGCACTCATTATGCATAACTAGACTAAGACAGTATCTCTCCAAATGCTGAAAGAATAGAAAGAATATGTCGACTCGGCGCCTGTGGCTCAAGGGGCTAAGGCACCAGCCACATACACCTAAGGTGGCGGGTCCGAATCCAGCCCGGGCCACCAAAACAACAATGACGACTGCAACCTGTGGTCCCAGCTACTTGCGAGGCAGAGGCAGGAGACTCGCTTGAGCCCAGGAGTTGGGAGGTTGCTGTGAGCTGTGATGCCACAGCACTCTACCCAAGGGGATAGCGTGAGGCTCTGTCTCAAAAAAAAAAAAAAAAAAAGAAGAAAGAATATGTCTCATCCATTTTGCCACAATCCTTCTTTGCAAGAGGCAAGAAGGTAGGGCGAGTGGGCACTTATTGTACTCCACCTAGACCAAGATGTACTCTTCTCTGATAGTCTTAAAGCTCATATCCCAGTAAGTGCTGACTGCAGCAAGGACTCCGCAAACATCTGGTATTCAGGTGATCTGCCAACAGATGGTTTATGCCTCCATACTCAGAATGCCAACCGTAAATGAAAGTTCTTCCATCTTCAGGTTCTAAAGGTAGCCATTAGCCTCCAGGATTATTGCTAAACCCAGGGTGGATTTTCTGTTATATTTAGGTAGCTGAATCATATTAAGCTTGACAATGGTTTGCTTTTTCTTGGCAGAGCCAATGCTTTCTCAGCACAATTTATGTAACAGCAATCTCATTAGAATTTTGTGTGATTCATTGCTTAAACCTTATAGTTTCTGCAATCTATTGCAATTCAAAATACCCTGCCCTCTACCTGACCCGCTCCATATGCTGCTCCCTCTGCTTTCTGCTTGTTCATACTGAGTGCGTGCCACACATTTGTCACTACCCAGTATAGAAATCCAAAATGGGAAATTTACCAGTGCTTTTTTTTTAATTTAAGATTTTTTGGTTTCAAGGCAGTGTTTCACTGTGTTACCAGGCTGGAGTGCCATGGGGTCAGCCTAGCTCACTACAACCTCAGACTCCTGGGTTCAAGTGATCCTCCTGTCTCAGCCTCCCATGTAGTTGGGACTACAGGCATCTGCCACAACACCTGGCTAATTTTTCTGTTTTTAGTAGAGATGGGGTCTTGTTCTTCCTCAGGCTGGTCTCAAATTCCTGAGCTCAAGGGATCCACCTGCCTCAGCCTCACAAAGTGCTAGGATTACAAGAGGTGTGAGCCACCATGTCTGGCCTCTTAATTTAAGATTTTTAAATTTTATGCTGTCTTTACAGTCATTCCTCTCTACGTTTCTCTTTCATACCCAGGCATATAGAGAGGCATTATTTTGTACAGGCTGGGAGCATGAAGCTTAGACAGTTCACCTTCCATAGAGTCAGATATGCATGTTTTTGCAAACCCCACTGGCGTTGGGGAAAGCTGTCATGGCAGCAGCACTAGTCCAGGGGCAGCAGAGGGTATTGGTTCTACCAAAAACAAACCAGGGAAGTAGGTGCAAGTTGACAGTCTCAAATGTACATGACCTCCTTTCAGAGGTTCAAAAAGAAAAGGTTCTTTGAGACAGCTTAGCAGAGTAGTCAGTGAATATACTATACAAATGTTGGTTTTATTTAGAAAGGGGAAGAGGGTAATGGGAGAAACTAATGTGGGCCCTGCATTATATCATTCAAATTCCACTGTGGAGTCATATTGTTGTAAAAGAAATCCCTGGAGAGCCACTACCCTGGGCTGTACAGAACTAGTCATTTACTGAGCTGATGATGAAGAAGCCCAGCAGACAAACTGAGATGGAGGGCAGGCAGAAAACACATAAAACAGCCTCCTGATTGCTTGGAGTCGCCGTGTGTAAACTTCTAGACTGTAGCGCCTCTTACTCACGTGGACGGCACCCAGTTTCAGCGTGGCGCTCCATCTGGGCAGGGCAATGGAATCCCTCCTTTGGCCCCTGACACGGGTATAGCTGCCAGGCACTGAGCAGGAAGGAACATTGGACGAGAGACTCTAGGAGAATAGGAGAAAGGTTTTTCCAAAGACTTTTAAGTGGCACTGTTATATTTTAAATTATTATTTCCTGAAAGTTTAAAAATGTATTAAGAAATACAGAGAATCAAGAGCTTTTAAAAAGTAAGTTATTTTCCTCCAGCAAATATGCAGATGTGG